ATCCCATCCCATCCCATCCCATCCCATCCCATCCCATCCCATCCCATTCCATTCCATTCCATTCCATTCCATTCCATTCCATTCTATTCTATTCTATTCTATTCTAAAATTTCTATTCTACTCTGCTCTACTCTTTCTTCTAAATTGTGAGCTTTGGGATTATTGCATGTTTTTCTTTGTAATGCAACCCCCTCTGAGCCTCTCAACAGCTTCTTGGAAATTCTTTTCAACTTTGTGATGAAGGAGCAGTGACTAGAATGGAAATGGAAAAACCTCCTTGGAGGAACCAAGCTATGGCTCGATCATTGCATTTCTTTATGATAGTGTCACTTTTTTTCCACTTCCAAACCGTGAGTAAAATCTGGGATGGGATGGAGGGTTTTCCCCACAGAAGTAAGAAAACACTGCTGACTTGTTGCTTTCTCAGTGCATTTTGTTTTGAGAGGTAAGGAGATGGATCTTAATCAAACTTCATTATTTGATTCTCTTTTCAGGTTCTTTAAGTAAACCGTTATCTGTGACACCCAAACTCCTAAATGTTTGGGAAGGATCTTGCGCGGTCGTTTCATGCAACATCCAAAAGGAGTATAACAATAGAATTATCAACCATGTGTCCTTTGCTTGGTATTTTCAGCCTTCATTTAATAATACCCTAAATGATTACAGTGGAGTGCTCTTATATAACAGCAACCAGACAGCAACTGAAGTCAGTTCTGAGTTTAGTAATCGAGTGAAATTTGTGGGTGATTTGGGAAACAAAAACTGCAGTTTGAAAATTTCCCAGCTCCGCCTAAGTGATAAAGGCTTTTATGGGATCAGACTTTATTGGAAAGCTGGAAAGTGGCAAACTCAAAATAAATGGTTCGAAGAACTAGAAATTATTGTTCATGGTAAGTACTTCTGAGAAAATGATCTCTTCCACTCTTTCTCCCTATCTTTATTGGTACTAAAACCTGCCTTTTCAAAATATCACCAGTAAACTTTGGACTTGCAACTTCTGGTCTATAAATGATTGCAGGTTGTTAATTCAAAGGATGCAACAAGAACATCTATGGATACTTCACATACTCTGTTCTCCTAATTCAACAGAAGGATGTGCTCAGTAGATTGGTCATATTTTCTCAAGTGGAGATGAAAGATTGTTCAGAAGCTATCTTCTGCCTTACCATGACCACTTGACTGATGCACAGTTATAATATTTTGGTTTATTGTCCACCCATCTTTCCAATCAAGAGGTGCTCAAAATCCAAAATCTCTTTAGACATGATTACTGAATTATAATTTTTAATATGATATTGTGAGAGGGGTAAATATATATTAAATGTAAAAGAGTTATTTTGGCTTTTCTTTCTCCACTCCACTTTCTCCACTTCAATCTGAGTACATGATAAAATACTGGCTTGAACATGGTAGATTTCTAAATTAATAAATTATCTCTTTAAAAAGCAATTCAACTTTGTTCAACATCTGTGTAAAATGTTTTCTTTCTTCAATTATCTGATTGCAGAAACCCCTTCAGAACTGATAAAAACAGTGTCCCAAGAAATGATAGAAAACAACAAGTATACAGTGGCATGTTCAATACCTTATCATTGTTATGATGAGCCCATAAAATTGTCTATCCAAGGATTAGAAGATCATCTTGTGTTGCCCACAAAAATTACCACTGAAATCCAGACAGTACAGACTGAACAGTCTTTCACTGCCACTTGGAAGGATCATGGGAAACAATTGACATGTTTGCTAAAAACCCATGATGGGAGAGAAATAAAGAAACCATTTGCAAATCTGATGGTAAAATGTGAGTGTATAATGGGATAAAAGCTGATGCAGGGGTCAAGGGTATACCTAGGATATGACCAAATTGGCAAGATGGTGGACACAATGGGGTTGATCAAAGATTTGTCTATTTTTAAGGACTTCCATGGCAAAGGTGACATACGGAAAGAATACTTTGTCTAATATGAATAATGAAGGGTGGACAACTCAAGTTGTTTGCTTTGGTACACAGAAGAATCTCTATGTGTAAAATAAAGACCTTTAGCAATCATGACCTTCAAAAATTTCTGTCTGTTTTCTAGAAATTTCAGGGAAAGGGTTACAGATTCCATGGCTGTGTACACACAAATCACAACCAATTATGTAACAATCTAGGACAGGGGTGTCAAACTCGTGGTGTCCTGGCAGCATTACGTGAGTTATAGCAACTTTTTTCCCCTTCGCTATACCGGGCGTGGGTATGGCCAGCGCATGACGCATCCGGCCCGTGGGACATGGGTTTGACAGCCCTGGTCTAGGAACTGCATTCAGAAAACAAACAAGCTAGTTTGTTTGATTTTTATGTCAGCTAGTTATAGTTTGGGCTGGAAAGAGACTTGCTCTGATGATAAAATGTATGTTTAGGTCTAGTTTGCTGTATGAATCTAGAAAAATGGTTTTAATACAATATCTAAATAAGTATATTGTTTATGCCAAACTAATGCCTGCTGAGAAGCCTAAACTGCATGGCTTGATATTTTGATGCTTCATATAATTATTTCATTCTTCTGTTAGAGACAATATTCCAAATTAGGCACAAGGCTAAAAACATTCTACAGACTAAAAGGGGAACAAGGTTAGGCATTTTTGCTGAGCAAAAAGTATTATTTTTTTTAAAAAACACTTTAATGCCGACTCATCCTTGACTCTGGGAATTTCTATGAGGTTGAAAGGAGTTGTCTCTATGAGATAACTATAATTCTGAGGACTGTAATTTTAATGCTAGAACATTTGATCTTAATCGTTCCGATCATTTTTCCTCAAGTATTTTTCTGTTGTTTTATTTTAATTCTGAATCTTGTTTGTTTTAGATGTTCCCAAAGGAGTTAAAGTGAATGCTGAACCTGGAAGCACAGTCAGAGAGGGAAACAAACTCACTCTGGAATGTATAGTTAATAGCAGTAACCCGGCTGTGTT